TAGTGGCACAGTTCTAAAAACACATTTGTAAAAACATCAGTTGTGTTTTGCTTTTTAACCATATTCGACTTGACGCCGCAAGTTTATTAAATAACCAAACTAAACTTCTAACAACAGACGGATAACTTTATTAACAGAAGAAAAACAAATGACGCAAAAGGGAAAATAAAATCCAAATTATACAAACAGGAAAAATGAGACCAGAGTCAGAACTGTGACTTAAAACTGACCTGTCCTGCCAACTCCAGACGCTTGTTGCCGTAGTAATCCCTGTCATCCACCTTGTTGCCCCCCTGGGCCAGAATCACCCTTCGCACCATCACAGCCAGGTAAATACACTTAGCTCGGAAGTTAAACTCCTTCACCTGCCAAACGAAAGAAAAGTCCATCAATATGTTACTGTGTAAATCCATAATGACCCACAGTCCTTGAATGTGTCCTTACATACAGGTACATGCGTGAGGATAAGCGATGCCAGTAACTCTCTGGCCTCTTCCATCTTGGTTTTCTTAGGGCCTCCCCACATGCGCTGCCTCCGCACTTTGTTCCCCAGATACCTGAGAGCCTGAGACGCAGAGGGACAGTGGAGGTCAAATGTTAACCAGGATCATGTGATATTTTAGTATTATGTTAACTGAACGTAAGTAGAATTTGAGGTTTGAGACATTTAATGAAACAGATCGAGGAAGGATGAAAATATCATCAATTTGGTGTGATTTTTAAAATGTTTAATAATTTATAAACATGGCAACTGTATCTCAAAGGATTATATAAAAAATAACTAAAGGATAGGGAGAAAGAGGAAGAAGAGAAAGGAGAAAAGAAAGAAGAGGAAGAAGCGGAAAGAATCAACTTTTTAACTGAACCTATTCACACGTCTTGTTAAAATTGTACAGTATTTTATTTGCATAGAAAAAAACAATATGATTTTCAAAAATTTCACCAAAAAAACAAAGGTCAAACAAACCCCTTAATCCTAATCCTTAATTTATTTGTGCTAGTCGCCAACATATCAATGTACCAAACATTCAAAGGAGTCAACAACACTCCTTTTTTCCTACTGATTTGAATGTCTCCTGCCACAGTCTGCTTGCTTTAGATCTATATTTGTTTGATCTGAAAAGTGCCTTCTATGATGACACCTGAGAAGTAGTTTAAAAGGGAATTCAATCTGATGGTTACACTTATATTTTAGGAACCACAGCACTAAATAAAAAAAAACAATAAGCTAACAGAACATTCTTATGTAATGATAACATTTTCAATTTTAATTTCATAATACTTTTAATCTCTTCATAATAATTCTGCTTAGAGAGACTTTTTCCCCACAATGCCCCGGCAACCATGTCACCTAAACTCTGCCTATTGCGGAGCCATTGTGATTGGTGCTTAAAGAGTAAAAGTGTTTGATGGTACAGCCTTGAACAACAGTTAAAGTGCCCTGCTGATAATTAAGTGTTGCGTTCGAAGACCTTGGCTGATGCAGAATAACCATGAGGACGTTTAGGGAAATGTGTTAGGAGGTCAAGTGAAACACCAAAGCAAAGTAAAACAAATTCACACAAACAGGAGAACCCAACCCTCGAGTCTGTGTCCACTGAAGCCTTATATCCAACTACAGGGATGGTCAAGGGTTAATGTGGCTGAAGACTTTCTGCAAAAGACCACCCACCCTGATGTCCATAACACATCCAAATAGTTTAAAATACATAAACACAGCTATATATTTTGTATTTATTTATATATATATATATATACATATAAATAAACAAATACATATATAAGTATGTGTGTATATATACATATATATTTATCTAAGAAGAAAAGATGATATTTATCAGATTACTTACCATAATCTGATAACCAGTGTTTCTCCAGCCTTATCTCCCTTTAATTATATAGATTTAAGCTTCATTGTGAACAACACAATGATCCAGTGAATACTATGAAAAGACTCGGTTCGGGGCAGACAGACAAGCGTAGGAGCTGCGGCCACTGGTTGCTAGGAAGCAACTATGGTCTAATCAATGCATCAGTGGTTCTTCTAACAACGTCGTCCTAATGAAAAACAAATTGGAGCTGTGTATCCACCTTAAGATTAAGAAAAGAAAGAAACAGTTGTGGAAGTGCACACCAGCACAGGATCCACATCACTTTAGCTACAATCCTGGTCGTCAGGCCACGCTCACAGTCTCACGGGCAGACACGTTAACTGATTGATGTCATAATCAATCAGTTGATTATTTTAACATTACATTACAACAGAGTATTAGGGCCACATAGGGGAAAAAATATTTACAATTATGAGAATGAGAGTAAATGCATAAGGAATATAAGGATCACTGTGAAAAATAAATAAGATAAGTTGTACACTTAAGAGAATAAAGTCATAAGTTTACAAGAATAAAATGTTGTATACTTATTAAAATAGAGTTATAAGTTTAGGACAATACCGTGAAGTCATAAAGTATTTTTCTGGGAATAAAGTCATGATGTAGTTTGTAAGAACAAAGTCATACGTTCACGAGGATAATCGTGTTTATGATAATAGAATTATAAAATACATTTTTGAGAATAAAATAATAAGTCCATGAGATGTTTTGTCAATGTTTACAAGAACATTTGTAAGTTTACCTGAATAAAGCCACACTAAAAAGTTTTAAAGAATTAAGTAATGTGATTATGAGAATATTAATAAATTTATTAGACAAATCTGTTTATAATAACATCATAAATTTATGAGATTTAAGTCATAAATTTGGGTAATGTTTTTCAAGGGAGTTGAGAGAAAAGCATGTAGTTTTACCCATTAGTGTGTCAGATTGAGAAACGTGAAACATCGTGTTACTTTAAACTTTCATATAAAAGAGATTTCACATATTCAACATCACCAGCACGAACATAAAATACATTTCTCTATCTTTTATTTTTCTTGTAATCTTGCAAAGTTAAGACTTTGTTCTCTTTAATTTACTACTTTAATTTTTTTTAAACTGTTATTCCTCATGTGGCCCCACTGCTCTGTCATATTGCAATGAAGTAAATCCCTGTGTGGCCCCACTGCTCTGTCATATTGCACTGATACTTGGTCTCATGTATTTTAGCAGATATTTGAAGTAGTGTGGAAATCAATCAATCAATCAATCGTAAGTAAATCCCCACCAGGATTTCTCAGGAATTCGACTGGAGAGTTACCTGAGTCTGTGTGAAGATCTGGGCTTTCTGACACTCCTCCAGGCTCGGAGCAAAGCTGGCCATTACATGCTCCTCCGTACCAATCATTTGCACGATCTCCTGGTCACTTTCTACACCCATACCCTGCAGGAACGACAAAGAGTCAAGAGCTGGAATCATACTGACAATTCAACCCTAATGGTCATAAATCACTGTATCAGATTGAAATATGAACTTGTAAATCTGGAATAATCCAAAAATACTGTTTATAGGACTTTGCAATTAAAATTAAAACAAGCCTGAAGGCAGTGACAAACTGGGAGCCATAAGGTTCCCTGACATTTGTTTATGGAAATGTGAGGCTGTGGGAACTTCTGTGTGTGTTCCACACTGGAAATGGACGAAGCTGCTGAGGATAAACAGGAACACGGCAAGCAAGCTAACTAAGTCCTGTGGATTTTAACTTAAGACCCAGTGACAGCCTACGATCATAGGTGGATATGTTTAAAAAGATATGACCTCGGGGGGCGGGAGGGATAACGACGCCAGCTGGCTCAGTGACATTTCAGTGAGAGCAAACAGAGACGCATAAAAATGACGGTGGTGAAGAACGACAGACATGGGTGACTTTGAAATCAGTCACTTGTAACAGAATGTGGAACCAGAGAAAACATAAATAAATATAAAAAGGATATATTTGGCAGAGTAACCTACAGACTATGTTAAATTGTGTAAAATCGGCTGAATTCATTTGCTCTCTGCCTGAATCTTTAGGGAAACAATTCTGAAAAAAACCGCACATTGATACTTCTTTCTCTCGCTGTTCAGCAGCACCCTCTACTGGACAGATTAGGCCTGTCGGCTCATATGAACACACCTTGAATATGATAGCGATGGGAGCGTCCTCTGACAGTGTGTTGTGTTTGAGGTAGAACCGGCCCTGTTTTACAGTGATGTTCGTTCTGCTTTTCTTCTCATGGGTGGAGCTGCAAGAAAACAGGTAAGATTAAGATTGACTGGGATGACAAAACAAACACCACGGTTTAAAATAAAAAAAAATAAAAAAGATCTGTGAAATTACCAAAGCCATAACTACAGTTTTCCTTACGGTCCCTTTAATCAATTTGTTAAGATTCATCTGACAAAAATTTGAAACTCATTAGGCAGAATGGTACCTACTTTATATTCAATAATTCCACAATCCATGAGGATCTTAAAATATGATTTCAATGTCAAAACATTATGACGTGTGGAAGCTTCCAACAGACCACCTTAACTGAATAATTCCATCATTTGTCATTTGGATTAGTCACAAACATACAGGTGTAGAATACACACATCTACCTGCTGTTATTTGTTCCAGCACTAAACAGCAAAAACTGCTGATTTATCTGCATTAATCATGATAAATTATGATCATGATCAATCATGACTGATGGTATTTTATCCACAGCTACCTTGTGATCAATCAGACCACAAATTTTAAATAATTTCAACTGACAGACCTCAAACAGTGTACCAGTGATTGCATGCAACACAAACTAGGTGGCGCTGTGTCGACAAATTACCTGGTGACCGAGGCTCCAACTGCACCCTTCCTGTCCTGCTCCACAATAATTCGATTCTTAGACAGCTGCTCCTGGATCAGAATGACCTTCTCTTGGCCTTTCACAATAAAATAACCCCCTTGAAAGACACACAAAATTAACACTGGTAAATAAACAGTAGAATTTACTGTAATATTGTTTATCGTGTTAAGTGTTCCGTTGAGCACCTGGATCCAGCGGACATTCGTTAAGTTTTGCGAATTCCATGGGCGTCTTTCCTGTGAGCACACAATTTGAACTTCGCAGCATGATTGGCATCCTGATGAAAAAAAACCAACACAGAATTATTGTTGCAGTAAGTTTACCTTGACACTATATTCATTATTTATATTTAATTTATAATAGCAGTCATATTATATAGTACTTCTCAAATAGTGGGGCGGGACCCCCTGGGGGGTGTGGTGAGGTGTGCCACTGCTGTAATGCATGAATGATAACAAGCCTCCAGTCACTAGGTGGCTGCAACTCATACAGTGGTTTGTTAGGATAAAAATATATACCTGTTATCAGGTTCTCAATGGTATTTCATTTTGCTGGGGTGTGGGTCGTGGGGTGCGGGGGGGGGGATTAGGGGATGTGAAAACATTTCTGTCCTCAAGGGGGGGCATGACAGAAATTAAATTGAGAACCAGTGTATTACTAATAAGAGGTTTTGGTCCATTGTCTCGTTACATTTCTCCTTCAGTAGAACGTTCAAGCTAAGGCAAGTGACAGCCTGTGTATTTGGTCTGACAGACAACTCAGAGGCTTAAATAAAGCCTGGTTGCATGTGAAGTTTGTCAACCTACACCACAGATCAGTGTCTGAGTCAAGGTTTAATGTAGCACAGTCGTAGGAGAGCACCTTCCAATGGGTAGAGCATTTCTGATGATCCTCTGACTGCCACGCGTGTACTCAATGTCCACAGTGATGGGCGCCGAGTAGGTCATGTCTCTGAGACGACACTGTGGAAACAAGCAGCACGGCCTTATTTAAATCCACTCTTTATAGTTGTTGAAATGTTTGAAAATACAACTTTTATTAACAAAATGTTTCTCCAAAATGTCTACATATCTGTAAATGCAAACCTCTGACGCTGCTACAACAGTAAAGAAAACAAATGTTACCTCATGTGGTGAAACTGGTCTTGTGACGTTGAAACTTTCTTCCACATCAGGCATACCAACATATATGTTGAGGTACCTGCAAAAACAAAGGTAGAAAATGTGTTTGTGCTCTGTCATCTGTGTGAATAAAGTTCGAGTTGATGATATTTTATGTCCCTTACTTCAGGTACCACATGGGATCAGCATCACTGGTGATTTTCTCATTCGCTTTCATTATTTTCTTTATCTGGAAGAGGACGGCATCGCCATCAATGCATTGACAAGAAGTAAAGAGAAAAACACACACATACACAAATGTCAGGTTTGTGCTTTTACCTCCACGTTGATAAAGTAGTTGAAAGAGTCGATGTGCTGCTTGACCAGACCTTTCACCTGGAAAGTAATGTGTGAAGGGATTAAAAGGGGAAAATGGAGACAAATCATATCAGAAGGATTTACAGCCAAATTGTAAGATAACAAAAATGTGATGAAATGTGATACATATACATTAATAATTATCAATTATGCTCATACAATTACTTTTTATAAAGACTAATCTACAAGTCAAATTAACAAAAAATAGAGTAATTATCTATCAATTTCATAATACAGAGATGTTGATTATTTGTTGCCAAATCTTGCTCACCCTTCATTGAGTAAATGAATTATATTCTTTCTACAACATCATTATATTTATTAAATGCATTATATAATATATACAGTATATGTGTGTATATATGTATATATTTTAGCCCATGTATTAAAATTTAAGATTTATTCAAATACGTGGATCTATATGTAAAGCTTGTATAAAAAAACAAAGAATTTAGTGTCCATGTTTTATCCGTTACCTTTAGAAATGCTGGTAGTAGTTTCCATTTTTCCTGTCATAAAAATACAAAACGCATCAAATCAATCAGTCAAATGTTGTCAAAATAGGTAATGATTTAGGTACACATCTTCAAGTAAACATCTTAAACATGCATACATTAATTGTCTGCTGCATAACAGACAAGCTAGTCTCAATATTTTTGAAAAATGCTAACCTACTACTTGAACTCTCACACGCAGTCATGTTAGGGATCAATTATAAATGTTGCAACAGGCCAGTGATTCCAAACCTTTTTTGAGACACTGCGCACATTTTACATTAGAAATATCGCAATGTGTCAACAGCTATATGTGATTAAATAAAATGGTTTTAGTAATTGGACAATACACAGTCCGTTCCGGTTTGAGACCTTGACATAAAGAGCACGTATCTATCCTACTCCGTGTCAGTGATTCAAGGATCAAGTGGTTCGAATATGTTTGGGGACATTTTGGCTCACTGTGGGCCAGAATGGGCCACGTGAAAGTTTCACAAATAGGAAAGCTAACAACTTTTTAAGATAAATATAACGAGATAACTTGGCAAAGCTATTTGAAACTGATTTCCCGAATATAAATATAATAGGCCACTTGACTTGCATGGGGTGGCTTTAATGTTTAATTATAAGAAACGCCTTTTTGTTGTAGGGGGGAAGAAAGATCTGCCAGAATAGTCGTAAATACGTATCATTATTATGTCAATATTGACTAATATCTCACGTTTCCAGAGTATTGCTCTCTCATGCAAGGCTAGCACTTAAGGCATGATGGACCCAACCGATACCACCACAATACGCCCTGTTGCCATTGAAAACTTTAATAATTACAGTAAGTCCGGACATACAAGTTCGGTTTATAAGAAAACCGTGTGTGTTTTAAATCAGTGCTATTTTAGTCTGTGTTCACGACTTATTACCGTCGGTATTGACTCTTTTTATGTTATCACTCACCGCTACAGTGCTGACAGGAGCCGCCAACTCCTGAGGAGTCATGTCTCCAAACTCTCCTGCCAGTACCTCCATGTCTTTATCTGCTCTAGACCTGTAAACACACAAATAAAATTACACTGACAATCACATTTCAGTGTTGTTGTGCGTCGCCGGAAGTGTCTGCAGCGTGCGACCCTGCTCTGTGTAACGCCGTAAAGATTCCGTGCGCAGTGAACGGAAATATATTGTTCCGATATATAATATTTTTTTCTTTAAAAAAAGTAGAACGTCATATTACGCACGTAAAAATAAAATAAAAAATATCCTGCGAGGTCCTATAGTAAAGTTCACTTGGGATTCTTATAGTTGAAGGATTTGTCGATTTGAATTGCTTGGTTTTTCCGCTTCAATATGTTAAGATTAACATTAAGTTTTAATAATTAATCATATAATAATATTGTTTAATATTTTAATCATACATTTAGTTTAATTTTAAGGATTAACAATACCTTACAAAAAGAACACGACTATGGCTATATATATATATACATATATATATATATTAGGCAGAAGAACATTAGTGTTGCATTAGCATCGTTCGCATTAAGTATTCCACGTTCTTGCGAATGTTCCATATTTCTTAATAATTAAATTAATTAATAGATTTATAAGTTTGTCAAAAACATATTTTCAACAATGCAAAATTCGTATCATAAATGGAATATAAGAAATCGCTTACTTATTTTGTGTATCTGTAGTCTGTATTTTACGAGAAATACATATACCCTCTGAATAGCGAACAAACCAACAAAAATAAGGCAGCCCAACAATTCTTTTTACAAAATCAGTTTTTGAAATAATGAATACTACAGCAACACATGACTAAACTTGTAAGGCTAAATTAAACTAAAACTTTTTTTCCCTCTCTGCTGGAGTCACGATAGTAAAACTAAAATCCTAAAAATAATTTGGTCCACTTTTGTCTTGTTAACCATTTTAACTATATAGACAACAACACTAGTTTATTGATGGCAGACATTATTTCTATTGTGGTTTTAATATTTTATAATTTAATATAAAATTCAATAAATGCAGTTTGACAAAAGTACTTTTCTGTTTAATTATAAACTTTATAATTATACTCAAGTCTGTTCACTTTTGAAAAGTAAGGAAAATTTAAACTTTACTCTTTGGTCAAATGCTTTGCCTTTCACCCCAGCTTTTCAACAGCACATCGTTGTCCATGTCTTTTACACCAAGTTATTGTTTCCCTAAAAACATTGTTTCTGAAAAGTCTTGAAAAGGTAACCAGAGATATTTTACGGCCATTGTAACCCTCATATTAGGAATTTGATTTGAAACACTGACATCTAAATTAAGATCGTTTTTGTTGCTGGAGTCAAAGAAGAAAACAAAATACTTTTTTTTAATAAGTCTGTTGTTTTATTTATATTGTTAATGATGATATATGTTACAAACTTGGATAACAACACGTGTCCTGGCCGAATCTTTGCACATCAATCTTGTGATATTAATGCATGATACAACTGTCAAAGATTAAACAGAATACACAAGACCAGTCATCGTGAATCAGACGTCACTTCAATGTGAGTGCTGTGTCAAATGTCTGCTGTTGCTGCTCATGAGTTTGGGATACGCGGTGCCAAGAGAGCGTCCATGTCTGATGACCACCAGCTCTATCTGACACTGGTCGATGTTGACCAACACCGTGGTACTCCTCTCTGTGTTCATCAGGAAGATAATGGTGAATACCGCCATCTCAAACTCAGGGCTGGTGCCAATGAAGGCACTCGCGACAGGCTTGATCACACCGTGCCAGCTGAACTGGAGGTTCAGGACATGGTCGTCCTGGTCCGGCTGGAGACAAGAGACTTAGATAAAGTATTGCAGTGAAAGATTAGGCTTTTTAGACACTTAGCACAAAGCACCTACTAGGTCATGAGCTTTGGCTTTGTAGCCCTTGTAATCCAGATGTGTGTTTTTTTCCTGCAGGTAGAACTGAATCCAGTTGTGAAAACCGACAAGTTCTGTTCCAGATTTTGTTTCTCCAACAAAGACATGTTCAAATCCACAGGAGTCTGGGCTGATCACATTTTACCAGAAAAAAACATTACTGCCATTCACAACATGTTTTTTTTCTTTTTTGTAGAAAACAGTACAGTAAAGAAGTACAATAGCTGTTCAAGTGTCTCACCCTATGTTCCTTTGTCTGTGGTACAAGTTGAACCAGATCAAACGCAGCTGATTCTTGAAGGCCCTCAGGTTTGAGCTGGACTGTCGTTTACTCACCAGATACCGGTGAGCTCGCTGTGGACAAATCACATTTATTGTATTGGATTTCTAAAAAGATCTTGAGCAGGACCTTCTAAAAATAAAAATAATCAAAATAAGAGAAAAATAAATAAATTCAGAATATTTAAATATTTACGTCACTAGTTCTGCCACAAAAGTTTAGAAAACAATCTGCCACAGCTGTTCAATTCAATGCTTTTCTCACAACCTCAGGCTCTGAGTGTCCACATTTTTCCAGGGAGTCTCTACGGGGGCGAGTGTGGAGGCCAAAACAACATTCCACAGCTGCAGACAGCTGTTTCAGATTGTTCTGTTATTCTGTCTCTAACATGTGTTCAGCTGTGAACTGAAGCAGGAAGAAGCAAACCCATTGTAATATGTAAAAATCATGCATCTTTTGAGGGCTTAGTGTGTGACTTATATACACCTTCATGACTTCAGTCTTCAAGACAGCATCCAGGAAGAGATTAATCTCAGTCAACTCCTCTGCTGTGACTTGTTCTGCCACACCTATGGACCGCTCATAGTTGTCCAAGAGTGTGATCAGCCCTGCAGGCACATAATCACATTCACTGATTCAGTGAAACCAAACACAGCCTGATTCATAAAGCTGCTGGAGACCTACTGGAGATGGTGGTTACGTTCCGTAGTTTGAGCTCATTGACATTAGAAAACAGAGGCAGTGCGGCGTGGTCCTGTGTAACATTGCTGCCCGGGCTGACAAAACTGGCTTTTCCCTTTTAAAATCAAGCACAGTTAAAATAGGGTTTTGTACAGCAGCAATCAAGACTTGTATGTCTAATCATGGCCGACCTCCTCACCTGGACTGATATTGTGTAATCTATGCCTGGGGTCATGCGGTTTACATCCAATGTCCACAGCTCATTGAAAAGAGTGGACAGTTCCTGATTTAAGACAGGTCTGTTACACAAAAAAAGTGCAGAAATTAGTCAAATAATGCGGAAAAAACCCTCTTTCAGTTACCATGAAAATATCAAACAGTCCCATAAACAGCAATTTGTGAGCAACACTCTTACAACATGTTTTTAAGTAGTAAAAATTCATTGCTGCATCATGTCCTTCACATCTATAAAGTCCCTCTTAGGACATACTTTCTTCTATGTGAGCAACTGTACCTTGATGCTTTCAGCCCAAAGAGAAAAGATGATAGAATCAGGATTACGCCACAGCACCTACACATCAGACACATCACACAGGGCATCACGTTGATTCGATAAGTTTTTGTGATAAAAACATTTAAAACTGAAACTACATTTTAGCAGAAGTAAACTACAATTTTACATGTATGTTATAATTAAAGACTAATATACTTACTTTAAAGCCATTATAACCACGGGCGGGACTCGGATACACTTCTTTTGTCCGTCCACACAAGACGCTGGAACGATACACTGACCATTAACTGCACATGCGCCAAATTCAACGCATCTTTAGTGGTGAAGACACCAGGGGGCACCGTTAAACCTTAGTTTCAATCTATATGGTAGGCTAAGATTAGACTGAAGAATCCTTGTAAAAAGTATTTAATTGTAAATCGTACAAAATCATACAGCATAATGCTTTTTGTCAACTTTATCTTTTATAGTTTACTATGACTTTATAATGTATTTTCTACATTTCTGCCCTTCGTAAAACAGACTTTAAATGCTGAGAGTTCTCATGTATCTGTAATGTCTGTACTGGTATAAACAGCAATGAAAATAACACTAACTCCTGTACATGTTTACTGGCCCATTCAGTTTTAAATCTGTGGTGAAGTTCACTTCACACAGGATGTCCTATCCTGGAGTAGATGAACCAGCTGAACAGTTTATGTGGTTCCAGATCCCAAGTCCTCATACCACGAGTGGTGAGGGCAACGGAAAAATGTAGAACCAGCCAGCAGCAAAACCATTCCTAAATAGGGGTTGTCCAGCTGATTGCCTCTCCTTTCCACCTGTTGTCCAATTTGTACAACAGGAGGTGAAATTGATAAAAGAGCAGTGTAACTTTTCAACTGTAATGTCTATGACCCTGCTGTTTGACTCTGAGTTACACAGCAGTATATTACATTTTATCGTGCATCAACAGTAATGTAATTAGTTATATGTCAAAGCAGGAATAATAAACCTCTGAAATTCAATATTAGTTTTTGTGCAAGTGCATCATCATTGCTGTTCAACCTGTCTGAGGGGTTTTTATTCAGTTTTGTGAAAGGATTCAAATTCTGTTTTAGGTCTAATTCAACAGAAAAAAAAGAGTTCCAAATTCTGCTTCAAATCTTTAATGGTCATGTTTTCAGAACAAATCTAAGCTTTTAGAAAATGTTACATTTGAAACAATGTTTCAATTTCTGCCCCCTGTACCTTATAGAATGAACACATTTAATTCGATCAAATTCAATTTATTTAAATGACTTTATTGATCCGTATCCTACGCTACTTAACCTACTTAATATTAATAAAAATTATTTGTCCAAGAGGTAAATTACAAAATGCTTTTACACAAGTACTACTCTGTCAAAACTCTTTGCAAAATTGCTTTGAGCCGTAAGGTCTTTTTTTTAAATAAGTTTATTTAAAATAAATGATGTGTGTGTACTGTATAACTGTGTTAGATTCTAAAACCATGCAACCTACTCTTTAGGTTTTGTAGTCTATGATATGAATTTGTGCAAATGCATGCAGAATATTAAGGTGGACTAACTGTGAAGTCTCCGGAGTAGACATGATGCAGATTTATGTTCTGTGGGAAGCACAGCAGCTGTCTTCTGTTATTACTTTACACTGACGTCTTCTCCTCTTCATTTTACACATACATAGTCCCTCTCTCTTTCCCAATATTTATCAAGTCAATTTAGATGACATGTGTTAAATCCTAATTGGCTCAGTCTAGATATAATCTGTCTGCTGGATCACACTTGAGCTCGCTCACAGAAAAAATACAACTAAAAATGTAAAGGAGTAGAAATGTTCTCCAGAAACCAGCTGGTATGTTCCCTCTGTCATCAGATGACAGTAATGAGACAAACACCATCATTCAAAAAAGAAAAAAAAGAACAAACAATTTTGGCTCATCTTTGATTTTAACAATACAAAGAAATGTGGCAGAGTTTCTGGAAGCCACGTTGGTGAAAAATCCTCGGCGCATCTTTTCCAGGATTTAGAAAGTTGACCGTCTCATGCATTTGAGTCCTCGTCTGTCACACTGGAGTTTGGTGAATTTGAAATTTCCTTGAAGAACTCGTCATCTTTCAGCATGCTCTGGTAAATATAAGAATAAATATATATGAGACCTTCATTATCATAATTGGACACACATCATATAGAACAGTATTTCCGCAAAAACGTCAGATTCTTACAGTCAGGTTTTGAATTCCCTCGGAAAAGGCTCCAATCTGTCTCACGGTTCCTTCAGAGTCCTCCATCTGCAGGAGAAGCAACAGCACAGATTCTTAATACAACATCACAGCTGTTGATAACACTTTTAGTGTCTCCTCTGAACCACAGTGTGTCATATGATACAACAGAATGTTGCCTTTCCTCAGTCGAGTGTTTTTTTGGTCAGATTCAGAGTTCATCACATGCGAGTCAGTGTTGTCAGTATCTTTGAACCGGCAATTATCTGATTAAACGATTAATACAGCGAACTGAGTGAAGTAACTGAAGGGAGAAAAACCACTGAAACGTTGGCCTGAGTTTTAAATGTGGAACAGACAGAAGCACACACCTTTGATTAGGTAATAATGAACTGATTTTCATCAGCCCTGACATGAAATACTGACCTGTTTAAGCCTGTCAAGGTCATCTTCATAGATCTGCAGCTCATAGTCTTTCTGGAAGCTTCTGCTTTTAGGCATCTCCACGTCCATGGGACAAACGTACTCCTCATTCTCATCTTGCCTCTTTTTCCTCAGAGTGCCAAAACTTCCAAAAGATAATTTCTTTGGCTGTGTTGTATGAAAGGGAGGGAAGAATTACATACTTTTTATGTTTTGTTTTGCTAAAGGTTTTTAAACAGTTACAGCCTATACACAAGTTTGATCCTGCTTTTCTGCTGCATAGATTAGGTAAACACAGAAACATCAGACGGGTTCGACCTACCCTTGGGCCAAAATGAAGGGCAAAAAGTTCTCAAAAAATGTGTTGAATTTATCTCAGTACAGCAGTTACCTTGACTTTGGTGGCAGCTGTGAGCAAAACGTAGTCTGGGTTTTCAAGACACTCCTGTTTCAGCTGCTGGGCTTCTGAGCCAATGAGCAAGTTAAAATGTGTGGCAAGGTGGCGACGCAACAGAGTCTTGTTTGGGGGAATGTTTAGCAGCAACGCCATCGCCTCCACGTTAAACCTTGGCTCTAGAACCTTGAGATACAAACGGTTAGGAATGAGTGTATTTGACAGATGTCTTTCATTCTGTAAATATTAAACGTGATACTTTCTTACCATCAGTCCTCCATGTACACCACTGCCTCTAAGGTTGGGGGCATATTCAGCCAAATCCACAGACCTCAGCCACTCCATTACCCTATGGTTGGTCCACTGGGAAATCTCTGCAGGAGTGGAGTTCTACAGACAGAAGATTCAAAAGAAAGTTGAATGAAACCAAAATACAACATCTACTGTTGTTACTAGTCAACCAATAAACCATTGTGCAGCAACCTCATCCGATGGCCTCCGACGTAAGCAGTTGGGCTCATAGTTGTTGAGTCGAAGCACTTGAATGGCTCTCTTGATACTAAGGTGATGCAGGACACTTCCCACCTTCAGAGAGAGCAGGTCATCCTGAAGGACAAACAGGAAGTTAACTAATAAAATTAAACACAAATTTCAATTTAAACAGAATCGTTGTTGTTCCTGGTGTTAGAGGCAGGACATGTTTCTCACCACTGTCATGTAGTGCAGCATGTGACCGTCCACCCTCCCCTCATCGAACTGGGTCTTATACTGAGGAAGACCGATGTCGTCAAGCCACCCTGTGAGGAAAATCCATTTAACAGTTAATGGACTAAAACAGACGTGGGCAAACTTTTGGACTCACGGGCCACAACTGTGCTAAAATTGAACGGGGGGGCCGGGTCAGGAGCAGATAGATGGAGAGTTTGTGTGAACTAAGATAAATGACATGTAAAAGTCATGTATGAAGGCTAAAATGCTTTTATCATTTCTACGCCATCTATTGGGAAAACGTGGGTATTGCAGGAAAAAAGGCAGAAGTATAATAATGATATAAATAAAAACTAATATATTATCGTTTTTAATTTATATTTGGTGGACTGGATTAAAAAGCTCAACGGGGTGCATGCGGCTCCTGGACCTTAGCTTGCCCATGCCTGGTCTAAAACAACCATATTTCCAACAGAGTTTTGAATCAGCAGTTCCTTTACTCACTAGTGACCCAGTGGTAGTCTAGCTTTCCCTTATTGTCCTCTTCTTCCGAGCCAATTGCCTGCAGAGAGAGCTGCAGCTTTTTTCTGTGCAAAGAGTGTTTTATGCCCAGCTCCTAAACAAAGATAAATAATTAATAAAAAAAAGAAATATATATATAGATTTTTTAAATATATGTACTGACTTACCCTCTCCAGATCATGTTGTGAAGCCTGCAGCAGTGTTTGTCCAGAGGAGATCCATATACGGGCCATGTTCACATAAAGTCCCAGACCCTGCTCTTGCAGCCAGTCACACACCTGATCCTTTGACCAGCGGGCAAAGGGAGCATCAATATCACTAAGACAAAAACAATGGGGAACAGAAACAACAATAAACACAAGGCCTTGTTACAGCACATTTTTTCCCTCCTTCTTCTTCAAAAATTAATCACCTCAAAAGTTTTTGGCACATGAAATTCTACCCAAATATATCACTACCAAGTTTGACTACATAGAGTCTATGCTCAGACTCACGTGTGGACGCGTTGGAGGTCACGTGACCAGCCCAGTCTAGGTCCCGCTGTGGCTCGGACACCGCCTCTCTTGAACTCCGCCGGGGGAAGGTTGTCATCCAAGTTGAACGTAGTGGACTGACTTCTTTTCAACCTAATGAAAAAAGAGATTGAATTCATTCCAAGAATTTGTTGAGTTAAATTAGTAAGTAAAAAATGGCCAAAGCTGAGAACCCTTTGTACATACTTCCCAAAGAGTTTTTTAATCCCTCTAGATTTTTTTGCATTCTCTGGGGTCGTAGGAAGTGTGTGGGTGCTGTCGCTGTTACTCGACCTCTGTGGCAGCCCGGCCAGGTCGAGATGGTCCGTTCCCCTTTGCTCTGTTTCAGCTAAACAAACACATTGTCACAACTTATTATAAGGAAACAGTGTGACAAACGTCCTTTCAACAGTGATACAGAGCTGCATCATGGGACCATGAAAATGCAATAGTCCTAGACCTAGACAGAAAAAGAAAGAGGGAGATCAAAGCTGTAGATAAAACTAATACTACGACCGTACATGCATGAGAAAACAAGATGTCTGACTCAGACTGGGAAAATGCTGCTTTATTTCATCAGAAGTAAAGTTTTTAGTTCGTATGTTTTTAGTATTTACACGATGGAATTTAAGATCCAAATCTACCATGGAAGCTGATATGGATCTTCAAAAGACAGGCCTGTGTTTGGGGAAGTGGGGAAGAGCATAAACAAATACATGCAGGGAGACAGGCAAATCCACATTCATAACAGACTGGCTGTTTGCAGGACAGCCAACAGCGGTGCAGCAGTGGGCAGTGGTGTGGCTGTTAAAAGACGGCAGCTACTGAAAAACAATACGATGAAAAGATAAATCAGCTGAGTGAACGGAAGGTTAGATTTAAATTAGATTTAGTTTTCTTTTCTTGAAAAAAAAAAAAACAAAACAAAAAAAACTACGACAATCCCGCCTGCGGCTTGTGGTCCATACTGTACCTAGCATAGGTGCACTCGCACTCCGGCTGCGGTCTTCATGTGTTATAAAGCACACACAACACACCACAGGGTCCAATGAGAAAAGAACAAGACAAGAAATGCTCATTGAAATAAACAGGATTGAAGAAGTGGAGAAAACAGAACGAAATACGAAAATATATACAAACAGTTCTCTCTCTCACACACACACACACACACACACACTGTGCGATGGCCATACAAATATGCAAAAACAGACTTCTGTGGGTGACAAATTACGGCCCGTATAGTAGACTCCATGGGTGTGGTTGAGGAAAATAAGATGCTGTCTATGGTGGAGGAAAAAACCTTCAAGAAAAATGTCACTATCGGCAGCCGGTCGTTCCCAGTGACCAGTGTTTCCACACTGGCTCCAGTTTTTAGCATTGGTAGAAGGAATGTCCACCGCTCTCAACAACAGTCCCTTTTAATATGAATGTGGTGTATGTGTACAACATTTGCCAATGATAAGATAATATTCAACATATACACAGGTGCATGAAAAAAAGAAAAATAAGGATTTAAAAAATAAACAGAGCAAAAAAAAAACAAAGAGCATAACGACTCTTTAGGGAGAGTCTCATATTAATTTCATTTAAGCCTGTACCACTGTTGTAGAGAGGTCGAACGGAGCAGCTGAATATCACAAAAAAGTTTCTGGCAATACCTTTAATTTTACAGGCTTATTTCAAAAAACAATATTAAATTTATTAAGAGCATATTAAATTATTATATAAAATATAAAATGATTTATAAATATCCTGTAAATAAGAGTTCTCATTAAAGGTGGTAAGTCACATCGGTTCTTACCAAGATTAGGAGAGCTCCCCGTTTTCTTGCCCCCACGGATCTTAAAAAAGCCCTTTCCGAAGGATGAACGAGCCTTCCCCGAGCCGAAAGGTGCATCGTCTGTGGCGGAGGTTGAGGTCGCAGCGGGGTTCAACGGTGGTTTCTCTTTCTTCTTACTTACTTCTTCACTCTTACTCTGAAAGGGAAAACACGGTCACTAACAGCATCAGTGTAGTTCACAGAAGCTTCAACCTCTCTGGCTGTGCTGGTTCTCATACAGTGCATAAGGAAGTCGATTTATTAGATATGTTATGTGACAATAAAAGGCTTTAAATGTGTTAAAAGTCAATAATTCAATGAGAAAATCACATTTTATTTTACCATTTCATTATTTATATCCAGATGTTCCTGGCTGTTTGTCTTTGTAATATCCTGACTGCTGAAAGAAAAACACATTTCATGGTTTTAAAAAGAAAAATATCATAGTATATACATTTTCAAACTTTTTATTTCAGTAAAGCAAGTAATACTGCTGTCATGTATTTCTACCTCTTTACATCTGCTGGAGTAGACTCAAACACTTGTCCTAAGTCTGAAGGACTTGGTGAGGGTGAAGAATTTACATATGGGCCATTCAGAATTTCCAGCTTAAAAAGAAGCAGAACATTGTTAGATCAAGTTATTATTAGTCTTGTATTCATTTGCAGAATGAAAACACTAACATCTAACAGGATTAAGATGTACACACCTCGTCTGGACTTCTTCTTTTCAGTTGTTGGACGTCCGTCACTTCATGTTTTTCTAGCTCCTCAGATGCAGACAAAATTGCTGATGGTGCATCAGCCTGACTCTCCACATGCTCATTTTCCTTGAATTTCTCTGCCATTGAAAGCAAGAAAGATTTAACTGAACAGGAAGAGACAGCTTGCTGCTTGTTTAGCAAAAAAAAGGTAAATTAAAGAAGTGAAACACAATTGTTCAATGTTACATTAATCATTAGTGTTTTTAATAACACAATAATCCGTTCTTTTAAGACTGAACCATGCACAACCCAAGAGAGTTGCATTAAACATTTACAAAAGCTAGGTTTGCTAACAGCAGGGTTCTGTACAGGCTGAAGAGCCTTAATGTCAGGCAGAGCAGGTGCAGTACTTAAAAACTCTGTTCCTGTAACAAAACTCCAAACTGACTCTTGCAGCTTTGTTTGTAACAGGTGAATGTGGACTATACAAGTATGATGAAAGCATGAACGTGTGCAGAGAGGGGGAATGAGGAACTGCAGTGGGAAGAACGTTCTAATTCTCAAGTGATTCCCAAGACAAGACAAATGCTTATACATTAGATCGATGGCTTGGCGAATGGGAAGCCAGGCCTCCTTACAAATCATAAAATGCTCTCGTCTGGCCTCCCTTTGCCTCGGAAAAAAAATGCCATTGCATTAGATATCTACTTAACTACAAAAAAGGATAAGAAAATAAGTTTTGCACACGCACCCACCCATTAATCACTTTTTACCTTTTTTACCTTGCACTGACATCACCATGTCTTGAACTTTCTTGTACCGTTGCAACGATTGTTTAAGTTCTTCAATCTTGCGATCCTGACAAAGTGGAACAAACCCCCCAGGGAAACAAAAAGCAGAGTAAAGCAGGGTTGTGAGAAAGTCTTTTGATAACAAGTGATTCACATTTTGATGCCAAACAAACCTTCTCTTCATTGGCCTCCATCAAAGACTCCACTGCCTTTTTCATTCTCTGCACTTCCACATCTAGGAGGGAAAATAAAAAGTTAGAGACTAAGAACAGTTGAAATGAATAAGCGACACCTGCACATACGAAAGTTAAAACACATTTATGTCACAGAGGCAGCCATATTTAACTTATATTTATTAGTTCATTTCTATTAGTTTATATATTTGAATATACATAATAATTAGGGAAGGCTCAATTTGACACTGTATTGGTACGATATTAACACATATTTACTTACAATATATGGTCACTACTAAACATTATTAGGTTATATATTTTTTTTAAATTTTAAAACCCCTGCCTTAGAAGAAGAGAATAGAAGAAAATAGTTTACTTACTTATATGGAAGGTCAGTGATGGGTGAAGTACCATATATCACATTTTTATTAATGAAAATGCAAAATCAAACCAGAAACCTGGTATTATTAGCAGGGTACATGTTGGTGGTTGTTTTAAGCAGGACAGAAAAGTACAGATATTCCTCAATGGAGGACGTGAGGTAGGAGGACTAGTCAGCAGCCTGAACAGTTAATACAAACACGTCTCATACTCATTCCTGTTTGAGTCACGAAAGCAGACATTCCCTGTTGCTGTTTGAGGTTGGACACTTAACAAAAACACACTGACGGGGCCTTGAACGACCTCAACATTTTCAATTTTAAATCAGTTCAACAGAGTTTGGCTCTGACTGCAGTTATAAGCACTCCAATGGGTTATTATGGACAAGCAACTCAGGTGGCTCATGCTCGTTCATGCAAACAAGACATGGGTGCAGTGTGCATTACGAACACAAACATAAAAACCCCCCTTACGTTTTTCTTTCAGCCTCTTTCTAAGAGTTTCATCTGGATGGACAGAAAAAATATGAAATAAAACTAGTTTGTTGCAGAGTCTAAATTTGTTAAGATCTTTGCCAGGAATAGACAGATATCAATACTCAAATATATTAAAGCTGCTGTCAGCAGGGAGGCAAATTCAGAATGAGAACACTGATATTGAAATGTGTGTCTGCAAACAAATCCTTCAGCTGTTGAAACATGGAACCATTTCATACAGATCAGGACAGAGGCATTTATCTGACAGCAGCTTTAATATTTCACTGAATATATTATGGGAAGTCTTTGTAGACATTTGTCATTCAACCCAGTCTCTCACCTCTTTCTGAGGAATCTCCACTGCTCAAGGCCATGACTTTGAAGCCTGTCTCATCTTGTAGTCTTCTCACATCTCCATCCTTGCCCTCCAGCTGCCTTCTCAGTGCAGCTAGTTCCTCCTGTCCAACACAGGACATCAGTAAGGACATCGTCTCATCACCTTCTCAAGACACACTCTATGGTATGGCTAACAGCAACAGCTACAGCTGCTTTGCTGTGACAGTCTGCTTGTCAATAATAGTTACTCACCATTGTGGACTTAAGTTTCTTTTCATACAGTATTTTTTCACTCTCCATATCTGTTAATCTGTACCGCAACTCATTTATTTCAAGAATCAGATCCTGAAAAAACAAACAAACAAACAAAAAAAAAAACAAATAAAAATATGTAATAAAATTCAAACAAAAAGGCATGTTACAACAAGCTAAACTCCTTCTAAAAAATATTTTTATTATATTTCAATGTGCTAAGAGGAAGAGCCCGTAAAATATGGTAACATCTAGTGATCTGTAATGGTTAATGCAAACTGCATATTCAATAACTGACGAAAAACAATGTAACCTAACGTCAAAAAAACCTTAGCTTTGTGTTACATTCTTGAGGTCAACCTATGTCCCGGTCTCAATCACTGAAAGACTGACGTTACCAAATCTGTCACAAATCAGTGTTAAAACACAGAGAGTTCTCTGGTGTATAGCTTCACGGGCATCACAGCCAAACTCTGCCTATGACTGTCCAGTAGACTACCATCATAACATAACAAGGCATTCAATGACAACAAACAAAGTCGTTGTGGGGCAGAAAGACCTGCACCGCCAGGTGGAAAACAAGGACATAGAATTTAAACTAAATATGTTACAGTATCTGTTTCCTCTCTCTGTGGCAGCTTTACTGTTGTTCCTGACTGTAAGTGATAATGTGGAGGAATTTATTTAAACAAAAAAAAAGAAAAAAAAGAAAAATACTTGACACAGTTAGTATTTTTAGTAACCAACATCTGAAACTGTCTTGTGGAATGCAAATCTATTATTAGTCAAAATGATGTGTTGATTGGAGGCCTGATGTACACACCAGCTCCACACACAATCACTGATTTTCATCACTTTCTAACCCAGAGCGTATTTGTGTTTTGACTACCCGCCCTTTTTGACAAGCCAGCCTCGAGGCATGTTCAATCCTGTCACTGGTCTCCCAGGCTAAATGTTCGACTGGTTCTTCTGGGTACACTTTTTAGGCAACTATGGAACGAAATTTAAAGAACCTACTGAGCCATCTTGACACAAATCTAGGAAGGGAAAATTACTTACATTGTGAGAAGTAAATCACATCAACACACTGCAGCAGTAGTCAGAGAAGATAAAAAAAAAAAAACGATAATGTTGGGAAAATAAATGCCCATCCTTTTAACGTTTTTGATACAAAATCCACACAGGTTAGTGATACGAGAGCAAAAACATTTGTTTTGTTAAATAAAAACACAGCTGATTTTCAGACTGGTGACAAAGCAGAACATCTTCATCCAACACAGGTGTCAGGCAACACTATTAGAGAACAGGACATGCAGTTCCTGGCTCGTTTCATTAGCATTTTTCAAGGTTAAACGTTCTGGAATACGACTGAAATTAGGGAGAACTTTAAATTAGGATTAAGTTATTGGTAATGATCCATAAGAGAGTCAGGGTCTGACAAATGCGTTACAGCTATAGAACAAGGAAAATATGTATTTGTATTTGTGAGTTAGCTTACGTACAAAGAAATAAGCAATCTCTCGTTTTTATTTAAATCATTATATGCCCCATTGTAAGTAGACTTAGCAAAATAAATGTATGGACAAGTCTGTGTGTGTGTTAGCACATGCGTGCGTTAATAAGAAGAAGCAGAATGGACACTGAAAGAAAATCTAAACAAAGAGGACTTCTGTGCAAAAAATGCACTCTCATACCTCACTGTCTCTGAATCTGTCATCAAAGTCCACTCTCTCCTTGTCAAAGTTATTTAATTTCAGCTTCAGGTTGGTCAGTTCAGACATCAGTTCAAGCTTCTGGGTCTCCAGTGCAGCTCTGCACAAAAGCTCCTGGAATGTAAAAATAAGAAAGAAAATAAAATAATACTTCTTTTTTTTAGCAAACAACAAGCAATTAAACTTGATTTACACAGAAAAAAGACACCCACCTGCTGCAGCATCTCCTCTGTGGTATTGAGTTTTTCTCTGTGCTCATCCAAACACAAATCCAGGTCACGGATCTTCTCTCCCTGAGCTTCCACCTGGTCTGTCAGTACACTCACCTACGAGAAACCAAGCCATGGGTTGTGCATTATGAGTCTTGCAGTAGTATTTAGCAAAAAGGTTTGAGGATTTGACTTTGCTGAAGGACTTACCTGGAGCACTAGAGACTCCTTGTCGCTCTCCAGGCGGGACAGTCTTTCTTGATAGTGGTCACCACTACTGAGGGAGATGTGACCATTGGACTAAGAGTAAAATAAAACACAATAATGGACAATGAGTTCTTTTTCTAAAAAAATTAGATTTCAAGATTTCAGTATCTGTTAGTGATCTGAGTGCGGCCGGATGTCCTGTTCTAGTCCGTCAACACAACCTTACATTGCTGGGAAGAAGGCCCGCTCAACAAAGAGTGAGTTAGACCATTACACCAAACTCTGGCGTAGAACCACCAGCACCCTGTTCCTAAGAGGATGGTGTGTTTCTTGCAGTAACAACAACAGCAGGATTTTATCTTGCGTTCAAGCAGCCAAGTTTGGGTAGAATTTTTTTTTTGAACAAAGGACTGTTTGTCCTTCTTGTCACAAAGTTTACATGAAAGACAGAGAGTGAGTTTATTCATGAGCAAACCTGGCATGCAACAGGCAAAATTACAAAACATAATTAGAATTTTGACTTTCAAATAATATCTTTTATTCCAAAGGTTTATTTCTATTTTTTTAAAAGCAATTTAATACATTGTCACTTCAAATTAGTACTGAGTCTGAGATTGTTTGTTATCTTTTTTTAATTAAATATCCAGACAAACTTTGAGATCAATACAAACAATAAACCCACCAGTTGACCATGAAGCCACTCAACCAAACTGTCGGCTGTAGAGTCGGGAATCTGGCAGCGTAAAGTCTCCCTTTCCTCTGTGTCCATCAACTCCAGGACACTTCTTAGATCTTCTAAAAGGTGAAGGGCCCGCAGGTTGCCCATGAAAGGGGAGGTAGGTGACTGGCAATCGTACAAACCATTGGAGTAGTCCAGAGCTTTGGAACCTGAGATAAATAGAGTAGAAACCATTCCCTTCACATTAATAATAACAATATGGTTTCTAAATGTAAGATTGAGCAACTATTCATATCAATCTACTTATATCAGTGATGACTCAACAACAACTCCAGCCTCTCAAAAGCTCAAATCCATCACTTTATTAGGATTTGGCTGAATCAGATTGTTGATGTTTTGAGCCACAGAGGAACATTACCTGCTATAATGCCATCCATCTGCTCCAGAGCAGCTGCCAACATGTCGCTGGCGTCAGACATCATCTTGAATGCCGATAAACCTAAACCAATGAAATAAAAGGAATAATGAATATGATGCAGTAAAACTTTAAACGTGTATCAATGTCATGTTAGTGTAGTAAGATTTGTTTTCTCCACAAATCTAAAACCTAGGTCACAGGTTTCACAAACATCTAATACCATTGTTATATGGCTGCTTAAACTTTTGCTGTTGAAAAAATTGATCCACTTAATATTTAATTTCCTGGCTGTAAGAAAAGCCCTGGGTTGTGACAGGACTTTGGAGGTAGTATCATTTACATGGAGATCAAGACTTGAACAAACGTTCTGTTTCAACACTGAAGAAGAACATTAATGATCTCTTTGGACAATTTGATTGGTGTGTACAATTTTAAATTTTAATCTGGCCTTTGAGATTTTTGACACATTTGTACAGCACAGTAGATGCATCTCAATCATTAAAAGCTTGTGCATGCCCAAGTCATGAGTGTATGAAAAACAGAGGGGCGTATCTTTTACCATAGCCTTCCCGGATTGCTGGAGCAATCACTATGCTCGTTTACTTGACGAGATCAAGATAAGAAAACAATGCCAAGACCAAGTCTCAGACATGACGTTAGTGCCGCGGGCTAAAACCTTAAACGTCACTTCAACAAAGTTCTATGCTTAAATATTTATATATATATACAACATTTGTTATACAAATAATTACATTAATTACATTTTTGATTTTGTAGCAATGGCCTTTATTAAAAAGTTGTGTTCCCCCGCAGTAGTTTCCAGGGCAACAGGTTGTTTTCTAACATATTTTGCAATATGTAGCAAAATTTGTAGTAATTGTACATAGGTTCAGACTAGTTACACTGCCACTAGGAGTATACCACGGTAGTATGTTTTTATTACTTCCAAAAGGTTCAATTAAACACAAACCTGAATCTGATTTTTAACCATGATGTGTGACTTAATTTTTAATCTAATCTTAATCTAATTTTGATTTTTGGAGGTGTATCAGAAATCATTGATGAAATACAACTTAAAACCTATCTTTTTCTAATTCCACACCTCCCGTACATAACCTGAAAAACACACACACACACACACACACAAGCGCCCACCTTTGCCTTTAATTATCTGCCGCCTCTTTTCCTGGGAGTGTCCAACACTGGGACGTGGGACCATTTTTAAACTTTATAGGAACCACCCACAGGCCATGTAACAGACTGTTATTTCAGCATTCCTGTGGTCACTTGTTCCATTATATGTAAAATGAGAATGCACTAACACATTAGAGTGTCACAGCACACAGTGGGAAGTGTGACTGTAATAAAAGGCTGTCCTACTTCTTAAACAAAAGGGAGAATCGGACATGGCATTAAAAAAAGTAAATCTACAGATCGTCAACTTTGACAGTGATGCACTTCTGCTTTATTATGATTTGGGAAACATGGTTGATACGACCTTCTGTAGGATGGATGCAAATATACTACTTTCTAAAACATGCTTTTTTTTTAACTTAAAAGTCCCCCATGTTTCTAAGTCCTCAATTATTGTGGTCCTCTATCCTGTGGTCTCTTATCTGGACCCTCATTTCTGCTTCTTTCTTGCCACCTAAACAGCACATTTTTGTGCATATCGGCTTATAATTCTTATAAGTTCACTAAAGCAAATTGGACACCCAGTATGTTAACAAAAATAAAATTAAAATGTGAGGTTGGCACTGAACTTTACACATAACAAAATCATTTGAAACAACATAATTTCAGGAAAAATGAGATGTGCTGGCCCTTACAAATAGTTCCCATTTGTCTAAACTTACTATCAAAAGAGATGTCACAACCAAGCATTACAAAACAGAGCCCATCATTGTCCACGATGAGCACCCTAACACTTAATGTAAGACACAAAAGGAGGACTATTGTTCACAGCTTCAGGGTGTTTGACAGAAAAAGAAGGCGGAAAAGGAAGTATTTTCTTTTTTGTTCCTTGACTATTTAGTAATCTTAAAAAAAAAGTTTGGGAAATAAACAATTAGACAAATGTATATGAAAAATATGGACACTGTTCATTGTGGAAAAAAACAGCTATATAGGAAAGACCAGATTATAGTTGTTGTTTATCTGTCACATAATTCTGATTTATTGTGGAATAAATCTCTCCTAAGGAGATAGCAGATATGTTCTGCACTGCTCTTTACGATAGCGAAGTTAAAGGTATTTGAAAAAAAAACAAAAAACATATGGCAAACGTACTGGTGCACACATTGAAGGACGTTAGCTTCCTGAGAATAGTAGTCTGCTTGTTCCTCTCTTGTACATAACATACAGTACATTTCTCTTCAGTCCAGCCTAATTTAATTGGACGCCTACATGCATGTTACCCATGACAGTAACTGGTTTAGTACTGGCTCTAGCCGTCTACCATCTCCTTGGCATTATTTACATTTAAGAACAGATGATATGGTTTTACACTACTTAACTCAAATTGTCCAGAAATACCCTGTAATTTTCCCAACACCATTTCAAAACTTGACAAGTGTTACACTGGAGGTCAGAGGTCTAAAGAGTTGGCAGCTATAGCGAGAGGAGACCTATTTCACTAACAATCAGGTGAAACGGGATCAATTGCAAGCGAGTTGGGAAGAATTAAGGGCACAGAAAAATAATAATAAAAAACAAACAGTCAATCATACATTTGAGAGTGAGCCACTTCAGCAGGTAGTCGACAAAACCGACGCCTCAATGATACATGACATCACGGTAAGCGGTGAAAAGAGTAAGTCTCACTGCTTTGATTTTCTTGGGCATTAGAAATAAATGTGTGTTTTCAATGGGCTCAGTACTGTCTCTTACCAGAGCCAGAGGGATTAAAAACATGCTATAAGATACTAGACAACTGGGTAGAGAAGTACCTCAGAGCCTGTGGACGGTAGTACTGGAGGTTGTCATTAGCAGAGGTCCACAGGGCGTGACAGTGATGATGTGTACATTTGGCTCATTCACTCTTTTTTGTCTGCTGTCAGTCCTTGATCTTTGAAGACTACTGATTTTCTTCATGCCAAGTCCAACATCCCTGGTTTCATTCTGCTTGAAGTAATTCAGCTTCTTCATGGAAGAATCCTTATTTTCCCTCAGTTTCACCTTGCCTTCACAGTGTATAATTTTTTCCCAATCCTTCTCAGGGGTTAGAAACAGCACCTGTAGCAAATTCATCTTATTTTTCAGAGACCTCATGTTCCCCATGATGGTGGGTAGGGTGGTTCTCCTACTCTTCATTCATACCTTAGCTGTGGCTCTAGTGCTCTACAGTAGCTCTCGCCAGGAATCGACAACTGTAGAGTATGATTAAGGGTATGCATGAACCACTTATCAACAATTACAAACTGCAAAACAAGTGAATTGCACCACAATAATATATTTTCCAATTTATGAGCTGTGATCTCTTCAGGTGAGGGGACATTGAACCCATACTCAGTAGATAAGCTTTATTAGAAAGAAAGAAAAAGAGAAGCCCTGAAGCCACTCGCTCTAAAGGGACAATGTTTACAACAGTCTTACAGCACATCTAAATTTCCCTACCTGTACTCATACAAGTGACAATAGTAAAAAAAAAAAAGTCAGTGGAAAAGGGGAATTTAGGATACATCCAACTGCACTTTCTTTAAACATTTTTTTGTATCCAGGTTTCTTAGTTTAAAATTTGAGGTCACATGGTTCCCAGTCTTACCACATAATGACACCTTCTGAATTGTGAGTTAGACATGCCTTGACCTAGTCTCTACTCTCATACAATGTTTACATGAAAAGTTAATTCTGGCTTGCATACCTCATCCTGTTTCACCACAAACAGTGAAATTGAACATTAGAGAATGGTGTCATGGCAACGTGGTTGAGATTTGATTTTAGCAATTACCTCATGGTGTTTTTTGGCACAAACCACAGTGGTTTGCCAAACAAAAGTTGTCTACAAATATTTATTTTATGAGCATGTTGTCAGCTACTATTTAGATGTGCAATGTGCCAGGGCTGATGGTATTGTCTCTACACATAAGGAATTAAGCTAGCTGTCCATGTAAGCAATGAAGCTAGCTGTCCATGTAAACCGAGTCACTGAGCACAGACACAGTGGAGTCATTCATCACCGGCCTGTAGAGCACTGCTCTGGAATAACCTGCAACTATTTTCAATGTGGAAAAGCAGGGAATACCTCAGGAGCAACATTACAGCCCAACCATAACAGATGACATGATAATGTAATACAGTTGTAAAAGCACATTATTCAAAGAATACCTTTTGGTGGAAACATAACATAGGAGTTATTTCAAGTGACTTCAGATGATTAAAAACTATTACATTAACCCTTCTGTTGTAGGGACATTTGGAGAATTTCATTTACAATAGGCAGTGACACGCACCCCCCCCACCACCATTTTTTAGGGTGATTACATTTGGACATTGAAAAAAAGGGTAAAAGGCTGTTTAAAGACACAGTAGGACGAGTTTGGTAGATTTAACAGCTGAAGGTTTACACACAACAAGCATGTTTTATATGGTTGGCTGCACAGTTCCAACTTCTACTAGCATTTCTTTTACATGCATACCTGCAGAAAAAACAGAGAGAAGGCTCTAATTTTAACAACAAGGGTTAGGCTAAAATGCATGTGAAAAACTTGCAATAGATTTCAAGAGAGTAAATCACACAAATAGAGAAAACAAAGCGAGATGAGAGATGTAATCTCTGATGTACAAACTGGAGTGTGACAAAACCAAACATGTTATTGGAATTAGATCATAGTGAGTTTTGAGTATCTCTGTGGTACCTGGTTTGTAAACAGAATTGTTTAAGCGTAAACATTGTGGAAAAAGAAAAGGAATGAGTAATTTGTTTAGCATTAAAACAGCAGCAAAGTGTTCAAGTAAAGTTACTGCCCAATTCAAAAGGATGGGAGAGAGAAATATATAAAATACCAGCATATACTGATAAATACATTCAAACATACAGTGTGTTTGATTT